TCGAGTTCAACGTGTGGGGCCCCTGCGTGCGTCATTCGCGCCGTTGGCCACGTCGTCGGCGGCTTCTCGACCGGGCGGGGGCTTCTCTCGCGTCGGCAGTATCTGCGCCCGTTCATCGGCGACAGGCGCGGCGGGCGGACGGCGCTCGACGCCGGTGAGCTCGCCGAGACCAGGGTCATCCGAGGACCCCTTCCTCTGGCGCGCGGACCTCGGGCGGCCCATCGCCCATCGCGTCAACTGTGGCGACTCGAGCTCGCGCGCCTGCGCCGTTCACATCGCCGTGGCCACCCCTTGGGGGGCCCGGGCGGCAGCCACCTACCGCGAGCGCTGGAGGCTCAGGGAGCTGGACGAAGAGCGCGCGGACGACTGCGGAGTGGGAGCTCTGGCCGACGGGAACGCGGAGCTGGGGGCCGGCGAGGGGTCGTTCAGCGCCTGGGCCGTCTGCGAGGTGGACCTGGAGACGGGGCGGCTGCGCGGGCCGCGCGGCGTCGTTACCCCGACCGAGGCGCAGCAGGATGACGTCGTGGAGGTCGCGGGGTTGGCGCGTGTCCTTGGTCTCGAGTGGGGCCCCCCGCAGCGCTGGAGGTGCATCCGAGCTGGGAGTTGGGAGCGGCCCGACAAGGCCCACAACCTCGAGGCCAGGGCTGCGCTCATGGGGCTTGCTGGTCACTGCAGCAACGCGGGTGGCCATCATGTCCGAGATCCTTGCGTGCGGTCGCGGGCGCGCCCGAGCCTGGGAGTTGCGCGCGCTTCTCCGACGGGGCATCGCCTGGCAGGTCGCAGCCGACGCGCGGTGGGCGCGGAGGCGCATCCGCACCGACCGCAGCCCCTCGGACTTCGCCGCTAGGTTGCGCAGGCGAGCCGCAGGGCACGGCGCTCGGGGCCGAGCTGCCGAGCTCCGAGACGCTGCTCGCCTGTGGGGAGATCCCACGCTCCCCAGGGGGGGGGCTTGGCGGCGCCTGCTAGGAGCCCGCGCCCCTCTCGGCTGCCGCGCGTCGTTGGCGTCTCGCTGACGAGCCGTTCGGCGAGGAGGCGCAGTCCCCCGAGCCCGACCTGGCCACTTGCGAGGCCGTGGCTGACGGCGGGGCCGCGACGTACGTCTGCCCAGGCCTGCAGCTTGGAAGCGGGCAGCGCTGCTCGACGGCCCCGTCGCCGCGAGCTGGGGCAACGTTGTCGGGTCTACTGAATCGAGCTCTTTCTTGGGTGCTGCCGCCTCACCGCTGGGGCGCTGGGCGCTGGGCTCCGCTGCGGCCCCCTGGTCGACGTCGCCAGTGCCGAGTACTTCGTCGGGCCGCAGGTGTCCGACGCGATCGCGCAGTGGATCTTGCGCGGCTCGATCTGGGCCGTCGCGCTCGGCTACCTCTTGCGCGCGGTGGAGCGCTGCCTGGCGACGCGGCAAGACGCCGGATTTTGCCCGCGCCATTTTCACTTGTCGGACGGCGCGGGCCTGCCTGGATGCTGGCGCCCAGTTCGTCATCGAGAACCCTCGTTCGAGTCGGCTCTAGAGCAGGCCGCCGCTGGCGCGCCTTTCTATGCGTGGTGGCGTTGTGGGCGTGGCGCTGGACATGCGCCCATTCGGCGCGGCGTGGAAGATGCCGACCTTGCTCGATGGGAACCCGCAGGGGCTCGAGCGCGCGGGGGCCCTCTGCCCGGGGCGCGCTCGGCATGGCGCAGCCACCTCCCAGCCGCTGGGTCGACAAGCTCGCGCTGGCACTGGAGGACCTCGCTCGCGTCTGCTTGCTTTCTTTGTTTCTGCCGCCGCCTGGCAAGGGCGCTGCGCGATTCCGCCCCGCCGGCCGCCTGGCGGGGGGAGGGGGGCCCCGCGTCGAGCCGCTGCGGGGGGGCAGCTGGCAGGCTGCTTCGGCCAGCTCCCGCCACGTCATCCACGTGGACATCCCCCCGTCGCAGGCCGCGCTCGGCTGGGTGTCAGCGCGCGGGCGCTGGGGCGAGCGACCGCTCCGGCGGGGGCTGGGCGCCCTCGCTGACCGCCGGAGGCCTGGCCGCGATCGATCGTCGAACCGCAGGTCAGCGACGCCGGCGTCGCTCTGAGGGGGGCCCGGGTTTCCTGCGCCGTCTGGCCGCGGGGCCCGCCGCGCGGCAGCGCCGCCGCACTTGCCGCGCTGCAGTCGCCCGCTTCGCCAGGGCGGTGTCTCGCAGCTCCGACCTGGCCCAGTGGGACAAGCAGCTCACGGGGCACGTGGATTTACCACATCCTGGGCGGGGCCGCCGTGAGCGCTGCCCGCTACGCCCGCCGCGGAGATGCCTTCTCGCTGGAGTGTCCCATCAAGTCTCGGAGCTGTCTGTCCTTGTCTAAGGTTACTCTGCGGGCATTCGCCATGAGAGCGCCAGAGATGTCGAGGGATCCGCCCTGCGAGGAGATGCTCTGCCTGTTCGTGGACAATTTCAAATCGGAGAAGCTTTAGCTCGTGGGCCTTTTGGCGCTGCGTGCCTGGGACTGCTGCCTCGGAACGTCGGAGGCGATCGAGCTGCTGAGAGAGGGCCTCTGCCCGCCCGTGCATGTCTGGATGGCGCATCCATCCGGAAGCGGAGCATCGCGGTCGTGCCCCCGACGCGCGACAGGCCCGCCAGGAACGGACAGTTCGACGCTGGTGTGGTGGCAGCCTGACAGGATCGCGCCTGGCTCGAGCCCTTGCTGAAGCCGGCCTTCAATCGCGCGAAGCCAGGTCAGCCGCTCCACAAGGGTCTCTCGCTGGTCGCCGTCGAGAAGGCGTGCGCGCAGGCCCCGAGCCACCTGGGGTGCAAGGTGGGCACTCATGGCATGAGAAACGGTGGCCTGTCGCACGACGCTTTCAAGAACGGGGTGCGCCTGCCTGGTATCCAGAGTCGGGGCGGGCGGATGTGCTCGGAGAGCTGCCTTATTTACGCGGAGCCTGCCCGCCGTGCCTCGCAGCATTCCAAAAGTTTCGCCCCAACATGTGGTTCGGGCACGGAAGTTCCGAACGAAGTGCTTAGGGACCTGCTGGCCTCTACCCGCAGGGTCCTGCACGAGGATTTGCTGGCAACTCGTGGCAAGCGAAAGCGTGAGTTTTCGGGCTTCCTGGTGCGTCGCCCCCCGTTTCCGCACCCTTGTCAGGCACTTGGCGCATGCCGTCGCGCCCGCGGCAGTCGGGTTTTTAAAAGCAGTGCCGAGAGAGGGGGGGCACTTCTTCTAGGCGGGGATGTATGCACGTTGGTGCGTTATCTCGCTAGCGGTGTCCTCCATCGCCTTTTCGGCACCACCCGTTCCCCGTTTTCCTCCCCTGCCTTCCTGTCTTTTCTTCCATCTTTAGTATCGTGCAATGTTGAGCGTGTCCCCTCCAGGGCGGCCCGCCTTTTCGGAACAAGCGAAATCGTGAGTGAGTTTTCGGGCTTCCTGGTGCGTGGCCCCCCGTCTCCGCACCCCCTTAGGCATTTGACGCGTGCCGTCGCGTCCGCGGGGGTCGGTTGTGGCAAAAAACAATCCGATTGAAAGGGCACCTCGTCTAGGCGGGGATGTATGCATGTTGGTGCGTTATCTCGCTATCGGTGTCCTTCCTCGCCTTTTCGGCACCGCCCGTTCCCCGTCCTCTTCCCCTGCCTTTTTTATCTTCTTTTCTTCCAGATGTAGTATCGCGCAATGTTAAGCGTGGCCCCATCCAGGGCGGCCCGCTGTTTCGGAACAAGCGAAAACGTGAGTGAGTTTTCGGCCTTCCTGGCGTGTGGCCTCCCGTCTCCGCACCCCCTTAGGCATTTGACGCGCGCCGTCGCGCCCGCGGTACTCGATTGTTAAGAAACAGTACCCGCTGAGGGGGACCTTTCTTTAAGGCAGGGATGTATACATTTATAATAGGTATATATGTGTTTAATGTTTATGAATGTATATGTGAGGAACGTGTTTAAACATGTGTGTGTGTGTTCGCATGCACGGGCAATGTTGCGAGCTGTGAGGCTGTAGACCCGTGGACATGTCGACGTGCCCGTGATGTTTAGAGGGTCAGCACCCCACGGATGCTTCCATGCCGCGGGCACGCGGAGATTTGAAAAGGGGGGCCATGGAAACACCCACATCGTCTCGACCAGAAGGACCCAGTGGGACGGAGCGGGGATCAGCGACGCCATTCCATAGGTAATGTCATGCCGCATGGTTTTTTCGTCCTCCTCACCGTGCCCTTTCCTCTGTTCCACCTCGCCCCGTCGCCTTCGCTCTTCCTCCCTACCCCGAGGCGGCCGCAGGAGAAGGAGAGAGAAGAGGAGGGGAGGGACAGGTCTCCGCCGGGGGAGGAGGAGGGCGCCGGCAAGGAGGACGAGGAGGACGCGTCAACGGATCGAATGACGGAAAGTGAGGAAACGGACGACGCGTAGACAGAGGACGGAAGACGAGGAGGTTTTTCGGGGACTCTCGATGTTCTTCTTGGGGTTTCGTCGGGGCCTCTTGGAGGCCTTTGGGGGTCTATCACGAGCCGCTTCGTCTTCGGGGGTCGTCTTGGGGGGCCCCAGTGAGCTGCTCGGGGCCCCCTTAGGGACGTCTGGAGCCGTCTTGGGGCCATCTTGGAAGCCTACTGGGCCGATTTGGGCCGTCGGAGGCCCGAAACGGCGAGAACGCGAGCATTAGAACACATTGAAAGCATAAAGTGCGTAAGTGATTGTGGCCCATTCGGATCCTCCTGGAGGACCTCTGAGGCCGTATCTGGGGCTTCTCGAGTCGGCTATCATAGCACCTTCGGCCGTCTTGGGTACAGATTGGGCCGTATTGGATGCATCTTGGAGCCATCTTGGGCTCTCCTTGGGCCGTCTTGGACGTCTTGGAGGCCATCTTGGACCGTCCTGAGGGCCAAAGGGCTCCTCTCGATCAGATGACCTTGCCGTTTCCAGCTCAGCGGGGCCCCCTATTTATTTCCACAGCGGAGGAACCGGCCCCTTGGGAGAGGGGTGCGGGAAGAAGCATCGATTGCACACGCCAGGGACCCCCCAAGGGTTTGTCGAACAATCATCTTGAATGCTGTGCACCCAACCCAGTGCAGGCCAACGGACAAGCAGATCCAGATCCGCCCAGCAAGACGTGTTGGGCTTTGGACGACGTGTTGGAGATGCTGCGGGGGGGCAAGAGCGTCTTATATTTTGAAAGAAACGGCGTCAATTTTGCTGCCCAGCAAATTATCCACGCCAGCCTCAAGGAATGCCACCTACCCGTCATCGACTGCATATTGGAGATCCAAGAATTGCTCGACGACTTCTGTAAAAGGATGATGCCCAAAAGTATCAACAGACGCCTCGCTTCCAAGATGCTGCAGGGCATGAAGCAGCTCGTTGCCCAAAATAAGGACGCGTGCTGGAAGCAGATGCAGACCGTACTGGACCTGTTCGGTTGCTATGGTGGCGGTCATTATCCAGTTGCCTGCGGCAATCCCGCTAACGTGACAGCGAAACATCGATGAGCAGTCAAGATGGTTTTAATTAGAGGTGCGTCTACCCATGTTTGAGCTGAGGGCCTCGCGCGGACGCCCGCATTGGGACTATGGGTGAAGCCTCCTGTGGGGCCGGGGTTGTATGCGGGGTGATCTGCACTGGGTTTTGGGTCGCGTGCGAACCCCTCCGGCAGGGGCCAACGGTGGAGCTCCTTGGCTGCCGCAATCCGTCCAAGTCTTTACCGAAAGTGCGTCGTGCATTGCATGCGACGTTCCCTGTTGGGGCCTTGGCTCGAGCGCTCTATGGGGAATGATCCCTGGGAGAACTGTGACAAAATTCGTTAAGTCAAATACGATGTTTCTGATGGTTCCTTAGGTGGAGCCCAATGTGGGGCAGGGTTCGTTTAAGCGTGTGCCGAAACTGGTTTGGGGCCTCATGCGAGGACCCCCATTGGGGATACAGGTGGATTTCCATGGGGCACGATCTGCATTCCCCGCCGAGACATAGGCGGAACTCCTCATGTGGCCCGGTCCGCGAGAAGCTTGTGCAGAGCTGGGCAGGGGACCGCCCGTGATCTTCCCCACTGGGGCCATAATTGGAGCTGGCTGTGGAGCACGATCCGCGTGAGGCGTGTGCCCGAGTTTGCCTGCCGCCGTGTTCGAAATGCCCCGTGTGGCCGCTGGTCGGGCTCTTCCTAGGGCGCGGCCTGCGCGAGGAGGGTGGCGAGATGGGCTCGGGACCGCGCTCTCGTATGGAGCTCCTCGCAGGGCACGCTCCGCGTGAGGAGTGTGCCGGACCGGATCGGGGACTGCAGGCCGTTCTCCATCACGAAGGGTTGCAGTCACGGGGGGAAAAACCTTGAGGGTTGCCGTGTGGGCAAACCGATTGGTTTAAGGATTTGGGGAAGCTTGCAGGGAAGTGGTTTCCTGGCGTCATGCGAAACGGCCCAAAGCCATTGCCAGGGACGATTTTTCAGGCAATCCCAGAACCAATCGGTTTACCCGACCCGACAACCCTCAAGAAAGACCACCCGGACTGGACAATTGGCATTTAAATTGCCTTGGGTGTATACTAAACAGCCCTGCCCCGTTTGATTCCGTCTCTGGGTGCGTTTACGAAACGGCTTAGCGTGTCGGGGTGGTTTTCGTCGGGGTGGATGCTCTGCCCTCTATGCAGGTGGAGCTTCCCAGTGTGCACGATCCGTGTGAGGGGTTCGCCCAGATTGGCGGAGCGACATCATGCGAGTCCCTAGCGGGGACGATAAATGGAGCTCCCGGAGTGCCACTGCCCGCCCGAGAGGAGTGCGGCGCAGCACACCGGGGGGGCGGCGCGCCACGTCTCGTGTTTGGAGCTCCGGGGCTTCCGAGCCACGACCTCCGAGGCAGCCGTGCGGAGATGGGCGAGGAGGCGCGTGCCGACGCGTCCGCCGCAACTGCGGCAGCACCAGCCACGGCAACGCAGCAGGAGGCAGCATGCCTCAGGCGCGCAGGAGAGGCAGCGGCGGGATGCAGGGGAAGGGGGGAGGGGGACACGAGGAGGAGCAGGATGAGGCGCCGGGCGCAGCGGGGAGAGTGCGAGGACCGATGTGCCCCAGGATGCCGGCAGCACGGTGGCGGATCTAGATCCTGCGGATCTCCAGTCTGGGTTCGGGGCGCAGAAGGGGGCCTTCTCCTCGCAGCAGGTGTTTGCACTGGAGGCTGACGTGCCGAATGGGAAGCGGCACCAGCCGCAGATTGTCGCTCCACAGGCCATGCGGGATTCAATGATGGGCTCATTGGCCAAGTGGCCCCAAGGTTCAGGGTAGCAGTGGCCTCAGATGTATCAACTCTTCTGAGTCCACTGCCACCGCTTCTGAGGCCGCTTCCGAGACCGCTTCCGACGTTTAATTTTGAAACATGCGGGTGAATCCCAGAACGGCAGTACAGAACATATAACACAAGTCATTTTGCCGAAGAAAGTTGCACCACATAATCCCTGCACTGGATGGTCATCAGTTGTCCGTCGTGGTTCAGCCTGTTCCGCGTGTACCGTTCACGTCGCGCCTGATTTTTTCCACGACTTGCAGAGTGTTTCTAGGATGCTGCCATGGTCTCACAAGGACCCAACCAGGACCATAACATCGGCGCCACCCAAGCATACTAATACTCTGTGTGCGTCGCCCCCATGGGGGCGACGCGCGCGCCGAGAAATCTTTCCCCAATCAGAGCTTGCCTCTGTAGGGGTCCTAGCGGATTCATATAGTTAGGTTAGGTTCGCCTCCGATTTTCGCCGCACGCCCGGGTGCCCAGGGGTGCCCGGGTGCCCGGGTGCCCCGGCGTGCCCGGGGGTGCCCGAGTGCCCGCCCGGTAGCCCTGTAGCCTTGTAACCCTAGAGCCTGATAGCCTTATAGCCCTATAGCCCTATAGCTCTCTAGCCCTATAGCCCAAATAGCTTTATAACCCTATAGCCCTCATAGCTCCATAGCTTTATACCCTTACAGCCCCATAGACATATAGCCCTCTAGCTCTCTAGCCCTCTAGCCCTACAGCTCTATAACCTTAAAGCCCTTTAGCCCCATAGCCCTATATCATTAACAATATTATTATTGTATATGTAGTACATGCTCCGTGGAGGGCGCAGTCTGGTCGCCCCGCTCGGAAAAAGATGTAAAGTACCTTGCAGGACCCTCTACCCAGACCCGACCAAGACCATGCCGGCATCCTGCCGTGAACTTGCTGGGTCCCGACCCGGAAATTCATCCCTAAGAGCCAATTGTTTTGGTACCCCCATTGTTTCTCTCAGCAGAGAATAACACTGGTCCGTCCTCTTCTCCTCCTCCTCCTTCTCATCCTCCTCCTGCCCACTCGAATAGGAGAGGTCCGCTGCCGTTTGGCTCGCATCGGGCCCGCCTTCTGTATGATGTTCAAAGGGGAAAAGACCGCCGTCAACTGCCACCCGCAATTCTGGTTGGTACCGGAGCTGTGCGCGACCCAAGTTCACGATCCGCGGGATTGCTCATAGTGCGATGTGGACGCACATTCGCACCCCACCCCAATCTCTTCATTGGTTTCACCCCCCCGTTCCCCGAACAGCTTGTGCGTATGGCTGTTCCCCAAGCCGTTTGGCAAGTCGCCCTGGACGCCCACAGGCTACGATGATCCCGCGAAAGTCCACCTGCGCAGGGCATCGGCAGCTGCAGGTTTCGACGCGATGTAGAACGACTGCCCCACGGGAGCGCCACGACGTTCCCAGACCAATCGCACCCCACAGGCATTGGCCGCAGCTTCGTGCCGGGCATGAGTGCGAGGCTCCTCCGTGGCCTGGGGCCGTGCGTCGTGACGGTGCGACAGTGCTAGCTGTCCTTGTTAGCGCGTTGCACCATTCGAGTGGGCCATTGAACGTTAATGTGCTTATCTGGCCACCTTTGGCACGTGTCAAGGGCAACAGCACCAGTACGGCCGCCACCTGTTTCAACATGGTGTTTGTTTCTGCGCAAGCCCGAACCCCAAAGCGCGCCCGCAGTTCACATCCTGGTAAAGTCTTGTCGATGAGGATCTCCATCCTGGCGCCCGGGGGCAGCAAACCACACATCACCAACCGGATGTTGCCGATGCATGTTCTTGTCCCGACTTCGGGCCGCATTCGGCCGAACACGCATCCGGCGAGTGCTACCGACATCGCGTCCAGATGCAGCCAGCGCGTCGGCGACGCCACGGCCGTTGTTTATGTCGGTGTTTTGTTTTATCCGCCGCTTTTCATTACAAAAAATATGAGGCACATGGCTTCGGATCCGCTCGGCATTATGGAACAAAGTGGAAACATCAATATGACATATACGGAATTTCCACGCGAGAATTGGAAGAATGGGCTCACACCGCACAGAACATATAGCTCCGGATGAAGCTCACGAGGAAGTGGCGACGTAATGCGCGACGTGAGGGCTGCCAAGATGAGTGGTTTCACCGACGCGCTGCAGACGGTCCGCGGGCTCGATTTAAGAGCAGGGCTCTTCGCCGCAAGCTTGAGCAGGGCCGCGTGCAAGTATCGGCGGAAGGGATTTCGTTGTGCATGAATTGTGGCACATATTGGGCATGGAAAGGCTTCAGGGCGCACATCATGCATCGTGAGAAGCAGGACCCCGAACGCCGAGTATAAGTATGGAAGCTGACGGTCAATCGCAAGATACAAGCTGATCTCCGAGCAAAGCGTCATCTACCTGAGCCAGGTCTAGGATTCAATGGGTTTCAGCGTCCTCCCCCGCGGGGGGCGCCTGCCGACGCTCCAGACCATCCTCCGCGACGTCTTCGGGGGAAGCAGGCCCGTGTTTCAGTGCCTCGTCATCCGGCTGAGTCCGGCCAGTCGGCCGCGGCGGCGTCAGCAGGCCCGCGCCCCATTCCGGGGCCCGCGCTGGTTCCGCAGGCCTGCGCCACAGCCTCCTCGACCTCAGCTCCACGCCCACGGCCGCCACCACCAGATATCCCTCCTGAACTCCCCGATGTCTCCCCCCCCCCCTTCCCGCCCAATCCTCATCCTGCGCGGCGCCCCCAGCGCGCTGCGCGTTCAGGGGTGCCCGAGCCAGCTCGCCAGATGCTTGCAGGCGGATGGGCAGCGCCAGCTGGCAAGGCCCTGCTGGAAACGCCGATGGCCGAGCACCCTATCGCGCAAGAGATGTTGAATCGTAGGTGCGATGCAGAAAAATGCAACCGATGCGCGATGCGTTTCGGACGCGAACAGTTTTGGCCACTGTTTGAGCGGGCAGTGGCAGCCATTGGGGCTTGCTACGCGTTGCAAACATTGCCGAAGCGTTTGGGCATTCAAGGTCAGCTCCTCAGGGCTCCCAGAGCGGTTTCAGAAGATGGTCTCGAAGGCCAAGATCTCTAGCTTCCCAGCCCCGTCGCAGCCGTCTAACACCCCTGCTCACATATGTCACTTCTGCAGATCTGAGTTTGCGAACGACGTGCGCGCGTGGGGAGGGGGGGGGGGGGGGGCGGCGCGGTCGCGGGGATAGCTGCCCCCAGACGCCTTGCGACACGCGGTTAATAAGCCCCCGCATGCTCGAGCGCATTCATATAAATAACGCCTATGTACGCGTTGCGGGATGTACTGGGCGAACACCCACGGATGTGCTTGTCGTGTAGAGGGTCTGCCGTGATCGCCGCGCACTGCGCGCGTTGCCGCTGAATCGCAAACAAGGCATCCGAACACTTGGGGATGCACGTGTCCTTCCAGAACAGTATCTTCCGTTGAGGTACCATTTACCGCTAGCGTGCATATGACCATGTCCAAACAAGGGCCGAAACAATGCGTGGTTGTGTTTTCATGGCCCGTTGGTTCTATTGCGTTAGCGGGGCAGATCTATCCGGATTCGTTTGGTTGATATTTGTGGTCGAAGTTCAAGGGCCATGCGTCGGCGGAGCGAGGGTTGCTCTATGATCTACTTTGCATAGTGCACGTCAATTGGATGTCGGCCATCGACGCATGTCTGGAGGCCGCTGCGAAGAAAGCAAAGGTTGCGGGGGGGGCAGCGTCGTCGGCCGAGAAGGAGGAGAAGGGCGCGGGGGCCCCGCCCGCCAAGCGCTCCAAGGGAGATGCCGACCAGACGCAGGGAGAGGACGGGGTCAACGCGGTACTGCTGCGGGACTGCTTCAATTTCAAGGCCTCGGCCAGGGCCACGCTCGCGCCCAAACAGTTGCTTGTGCGGTTCAAGAGCAACGAGCAGGCGAAGGTTTTCTCACCCACGGTAGACGAGCGGTTCTAGTAGAAGCCAGAAGTTACATAACAGATGAAGAAGGATCGAGTATGTCCCAAAGCACCCATTGAATATCACAATATATACTTGGGTTTTTATTTCTTGCCTGGCTTTTACGGCGTCCATCTTGGAGGACTACGCAGAGAAGCAGCCCGGCAACCATGCGGCCGAGAATGCGCTCGAGGCAGTTCAAGGGGCGCGCGCGGTGGACATGTCTACGCTGAAGATTTGGATCGGAGCGTTTTCTTTTCGGCGCAACAAGCCGAAGGAGGACAGGCCCTGGAAGCGCGTCCTCTCGTTCACTTACCTGGCTCCGTCAGACCTTATTCAGGCAGCGGCTGCACTGCTGTTGTGGAGGGGCCCCATCGAAGGCGGCGGTCATCGAGATGGCGAGGAGCTCCCGGAGGCAGGACGAGCAGTCGTTGTGGGACGCGCTGAAGTCCAGACCGAGGCGCGGTGGAGCTGGGAAGGGCGGTGGTCGCCAGAGATCGCGTCGCCGCCGGCGCCTGGCCCCAGGGCGGAGGCGCCATCAGCCAGCCCTGGGTTCAGAACGACGGCGGCCCCGAGGAGAGGGGCGCGCCGCCCCTGGAGGACCTCGACCTCTCATGTCTGTCTCATCTGAAAATACGTATATACATATATACATATACACATCTATACACACATATATACATGTTCGTATGTATATGTGTATTGACATTTGTGATGGCTATGAATATTGTTACGTTGGGGCCTCCACCTCGGCGCGCTGCCCACCCTGCCCATCGCGCGCGGCAGCAATTCTGTTCACCTTCAAGATGTCACGGAGTTCTTCATTTTCCAACCTGGGACTTGGGCTGCGTGGTTCCTCGGCTCCGGCGTCGGTCCGTGGGCGGCCCGCGTCTCCTTGCAATTTGGGATTGTCTTCGAGGGCTCCGAGAGATACCTCATTTTTTCCACGGGTCTTCTACTCCCAGTTGACGACGGCCGACTGCCGGGTCGCCGATTCCGTTGAGTGCCCGCGCGCAGTCGGCGCGACCGACGAGTCCGCTGACGGCGTCTTCGCAGTGAGGTTCACGGTCGCGCCTTTCCACGTGCATCGCCAGATCGATGTGCCATTCTGCGTGCGTTGCCCATGCGAATGCGAGTTGGAGGGCAAGGTCCGGCCGCCC